GGGGGGGTTTCAAAAGGTTGAAAACCCCTGGCCTACTGTATAACAAAGACATTGGACAGTAAACAGGTTGATCATCATTGACCAAAGTTTAAAGGGACAGATCAACATGAAAATATTGTCATCATCTCACCCATGTTATTTTGAACCCGTATGACAACAGAAGATGCTCTGCTACTGTTTATGCTACCCCTTGTAATTGATTATCTAGGCTAATCCTTGAAACTGTAAGTTGTGACAGATGATATTTTCTATAAAATGTAAAAAAGGAAGGTTATTTCTGAAGGATAAACATTTTTATATAATAAAAAAAAAAGAATAAAAATCCAACAGTTTAATTTTATTGATAATTAACTATTAACAGAAACCCTGCGATGATCCAAAACATTGCATGTAGTCAGAATTAATACAATTGAATCAAGAAACGTAGGGGTTCTAAAGTGAAAATCCTTATAAAGTACAACATCAGGTTTGGCATTTAAAAATTCAAAAATAATATTTGTTCAAAATACATAAATGGCATTGAAATACTGATTTTTTTTTGTGTAGTTATTTTTCTTTAGTGCATTCTATATACTCAGTATGTATACTACAGTATTATTTACACAGTGTGACATGCAGTATATTGTCAAGGCATTATTTGTCATATTCATATTCATGCCACATCCCTGGATATCATAAGATACTGTGCAGACACCTCTGTCAGTGTGAGGATAGCTCTGTTATGACCACCCGTATATTCTTGGCTCACAGATGACACATTCAAAGCTGCAGATGTAGAGGGAATCCTTCATGCTGAGTCACAGTGTGTGAATGTGATTTATATGTCTTTTTCCCTGAATTTTATGTGCTGTCAGCAGGGGTCTTTCCTGTGTGTGAGTGAAATATTAAACACCAGCGCCATATTTTTTTCACCTTGTCAGAGGAAATCTTTGCTGCAGGTCCACCAGCCTGCCAGAAGCTTCCTGTTTATCAATGAGAGTCACAGGGCCCTTGTTCAGCTGTTAGTTACTGATCTTTAGCAATGGCTGACATTTTAGCCTGCATGTTTGGATATCAAGTGAATACCAACTGCAAAGGCACAAACAAGCCAGTGCCGTACACCTGTCTGATCCTCTTTCATTTAATTCCAGTTTCTTTAACTGAAAAGACACAACAAGACTGCCTTCTGCAGTCTGATTAAGCAGGTTAAAAAATTAAGCATTTAAAAAAAAAAATGTTTTTAGTCTCTTGTGCTGGCAAAGGCTGCATGTGTTTGATTATAAATATATTAATCATATTGAGAAATATATTTTAAAATGTGTGTCAAAGCTGAATTTTCAGCAGCCATTACTGTAGTTTTCCATGTCACATGATCCTTCAGAAATCATTATAAAATGAAATAAACATTTCTTATTATTATCAATGTTGATAACTGTTTTGCTGCTTAATATTTTTTGGGAAACCATGAATGATGCATTTTTTTTTTCAGAATTCTTTGATGAATAGAAAGTTAAAATGTACAAAACAATCTTTTGTAACACCTTTACAGGCTTTATTGTCACATCTGATCCATTTAATGCAGAATAAATATCCTTGCTGAATAAAAGTATGATTTCTTAACGAAAAAAGTTCTTACTGACTCCACAACTTTGAACAGTATAGTGTATAATTATTATTAAAATCACCATATTTAATAGTGGTGTAGCAAATTGACTTGTATTTTATTATATTGCCTTTTATTACATTATAATATTTCACATAGGTTTTATAATGAATAATGTAATTGTTTAACAAACAATGATTTAAAATTAAATCTAAATATCTATAATATAATGGTTTTAGGTTAAACATAATGTGTGTCACTGCAGGGCACATGTCAGTTATAACTATACCCATTCTTTTAATCACATCAGATTTTTGGATTAAAATCTGCCATGTCCTGTCATTGTCTTTTTTTAGAAAATGACTTTATATTTTTGTTGCACTCAAAATTGATGTGTCTGATTTATAGCATTATTTGCTGCTTGATGTGAACTGTGAAACATTGTCTAAACATAAATACAGCCTAAGAGGGAATAGCATAATGCCAGCAAATCGTGTGAATCGCTTTAAGAGTATGTCTGAAAATGTTGAGTCTTCCAAGAGTACAAGATTACTGCTCATTCATTAACGGTTAAATCTTGTTTAGCAGACAGACTGAATTGTTTTTTATGATCTCCAGTACACAGAGGAGAAGCTTGGCCAGGCAGAAAAGACTGAGCTAGATGGCCACCTGGAGAACCTGATTGCTCGAGCGGACTGCACCAAAAACTGGACTGAAAAGATCTTCAGACAGACCGAGGTGCTGCTTCAACCCAACCCAAGTAAGAGTCTACATGGGCATTATACGTTTAAAATTGTCTGTTGTTATTAGATATCGTTTGAAATGTGTGGTCTTGTCTCCTAAATGTTGAGCCCAAACAGAGGTCCTGTATGTTGAAAAATGTCTCATGTTGTTGACATTTACCATTAACGTGATGAACAGGAACATCCCTTGACTGTTTGTTGATATCAATCTGCTTTATTGTACAGGCAGCCAGGGAAATATGATGCCTAACAACCATCTTAAAACAGCAGTAGTGCTCAAGTGTCACTATGTCAGGTATCACATTATGTGAATGGATTGTATTGTCTTTGCACCCTTGATTTTTATTTTCTCTCTTCTTATTGCTATGGTAGTTTCACTAATTATAAGAGTAAACAAAGTTTTACAAGGGTGCTGAGATGTACAGTAAACTGGCATAACAGGTCAAATCTGAGCTATTAATCGTTACTGTGCTCTTGAGCAGGATATATAATATAATTTATATTAATTATATTCTAATAATGATATCAGAATAATTTCTGAAGGATCATGTGACACTGAAGACTAGAGTAATGGCTGCTGATAATTCAGCTTGGCCATCCCAGGAAATATTACAGATTTACTGTATTTTTAATCAAATAAATCCAGCCTTGGTAAGCATAAGAGACTTCTTTCAAAACATTAAAAAATCGTACTAACTCCAAATGTTTGAACGGTAGTGTATATCTAAAATTTTTTGACACGAGTCAAAAATCTGCATTTGCATTTTATGTTGGCATTTCACAACTGAATAAACAACATGAAACATTTTGTATTAATACTCATTCAGTTATAATTTCCGAATCATTGCTAAGGCCACAGGTTTCAGATGCTTTAGAGCTCATCTTTGATGGCAGTACCTTTCATGTACGTATTTAAGCATTTAATGTAAGTGCAAGAGGTACTTATGGCCTAGTGATTGTGTACTTGTAAGAACACTAACCTGTTCTTTCTAACTCTCTCCATGCTCCAGTTGACCAAACTGGTAAGTGTGTCTCTACTCCCCGTGGCCTGTGCTTTGGGTTTTCAGTTTAATGACTGATGTTTAGTATTAGACCCAGCTTGTGGCGCTCGCTCTTCTCACTGTTTTTGTTATAGTAGTACTATCCTTTTGCGGATGAGTTTGTTTGTCCTGTGGTTGTAGCCAGACACAAGTTTAAACACTTTTTCTTCAATCATCTGATTATCTTAACCAGATCTGGTTATCAAATCTGTGAGGCCTCTTCAAATCAACACAGGGCATTGTGTTCATAGCTGGAATGATTTGTCAAAGACCGTTATTATATCACATTTTGCCATTACAACCCCACATGGGTTTTATGTTTTCATCTGTGATGTCTACATCAAAGACCTGTGTCTTTTTTTTTTGCTTTATGGTCTCTCGAAACAATGTTCCAAATATTACAATAAAAGTATTCTGAACATTTGTAAATGGTTGATGGACTGGATTGGTAAACATGATGGTGCAAAATGGTGTACTTGATTAAGTTTATTGGAGTAAACCTTGAATAAAGCTTGATGACTTTCTTACTGATGTGAATCTTTGTTTAGGTGCCCGTATTGAAGAGTTCTTCTATGAGAAACTGGACAGAAAGATCCCATCCAGAACCACCAATGCAGAGCTGCTGGGACAGTATATGCAGGATGCTGCAAAGGAATTTGGGCCAGGAACTCCATATGGTTCGTACAACCAACCAGAACAAAATTAATATAATGCAGCTTTTTAAAAATTATTATTATTGTTTTTTTAAATTGGAAAGCACACAGAAAAGGGAAAAAGTTATTTTGTTAAGATAAAATGGCTACATATATCCTAACTAAGAAATAATAATAAGCAGTTTACTCATAATCAAAAAGTATATTTACCTACTAGAGGCCAGTGCATATCAATTTACTGAATTCACAAATTCTATAAACAAATTCTCATCTTTTTTATTGTTTATTTATTGACTTAATACACCATATGAGACAGGATTGCCGCTGCCCATTCTCCCTTTTTCCTGTTTCCACTGTTTGGCTTCTGACATGAAAAATGAAGCATTCCCTTTGTATTATTTTTGACCAGTGTTATTATGTTGTATACTATGCTATGTTTTGCAGTGCTATAGTAATGGAGGTCTCTAAATCAAGTTAATGTTTAGCTGCATGGTGTATGTCACTAGATGGCGCACTTTCCCTTTCTAAACAGGTGGAGCATAAGGTTTGTTGGTAAGTAGGTCTTCATGGATGCTTATAGGTTAGAATTATATAGAGAATATTATATATCCTGTGTTTTGTTTTCTCAGTTATTATTTTATATTAGAACTTTATATATTATAATTATAACAATGCTGGTTTAAAAAGATTTATGAAAATCATGCTCGTCTTAGATATGTCAACATTCCAAAAAAAACAAACAAACATCACGACCACTACCAAGGTAAATATGACATTATGAATGTATATTTCATTTACAGAGAATCAAAGCAGCATCAGAGCATCTGTCTAAACATGCCTTATGTGAGACAGTGTTTCATTCTGTGAGTTTAGGTCTCTGATTGATGAAGATACCTACATCAGTAACTAGTTGAGATGACTCAAAGACTGTTTTGTCTATAATCTGATAATCTTAATGTTCCACTTCCATCTGAATGAGTTAAAAGTGTGCAAACCAAATTATCTGAAGCAGTCAGTAATTCACAAGATGTTCTTGGTTAGTTAAACAGGTTTGAAAATGATTTGACAGGAAAAGATTGAAAATGTCATTGCAATGCTGAGTTGTACGTAATGTAGTGTTTTGGGAATGTTTTGCCTGTGTTTTTAGGTAGTACTTTGATCACTGTTGGAGAGTATCAGAGGAGATTGGGTGGAGCAGAGCGGGAATTCCTACAGACGTCAGCCATCAACTTCCTCACACCTCTGAGGAACTTTCTAGAGGGTGACTGGAAAACCATTTCCGTGAGTGAAATGTACAATCTCTATCTCAGATGGTTCACCTCCATCTGATATGTAAACCAATATACAATGGCTGTTAAAATCTGCTAGTTACAAAATGATTGGCTCCTGCACGTATTATTCACCTTTTTTGAAAGTGGATGACAATGGAGGTTTTGCACATTCAAATTACAAATGGTTTTACATTTAAATAGTATACATTTGTCTTAAATGCATTTAGCTGAACCTTGGAGGGTTTTTTTTGGCTTTGATTGTGTTTTGGAATATGGTTAAAGTGTACTGCCGAATGTACTGACAAGCCTTTATAGTATCTAAAATATACTTTAATGTCATTTCTATTGGAGCTGGTATGTCATGTATTTTAATATATTTGTAATGAAACATTTGTATTGATGAAGTTATATATAAATACTACATTTAAAATTACAACCAAATACTTAACAAATGCTTTAGTATGTTAACATGTCAAAATAAGTGTACTTCTTTAAAGCACAACAAAAGATTATTTGATTTAAAATGTACTTTTGTACTTAAGAGTGTTAAGAAACATCATCATGAAAGTGTATTCTCTTGACAGGCTGAAGTGGCCTTTTATTTCATTAATATTATATTATCTTTTTAAAAATTTACTTTTAATATGTGAAGTACACTACAAGTGCACATTCAAGTACAATTAAGCACACTTCCTCTCTCACAAAAGTCTGTTTGTTCTGTTATCAGAAAGAGAGAAAGCTACTTGAGAACCGGCGTCTTGACCTGGATGTTTGCAAAGCTCGGCTCAAGAAAGCAAAGTTAGCAGAGGCAAAGGCTGCTGTAAGTTTTATTTTCACTTATTTCTTCATCATCATTTTCACGTGTCTTCCTCCCCTCATGTTCTTTCATCTCCTCCACCACCCTCTCATCAAGAACCACTTATAAGCTGTTAAGCAGGATTCAGATCTCTAGAGGGACATTTCAGGAAGTATGACCTAAAGCAAGGATACTTAATGTCTATCCCACAGCCACAAGGTTATAATTGACTCACAATCACAATTATGTTACTATGTCTCTTGCAGTGTGCAAACAAACAATGTGATGTGGCAAATCAAACACTGAAAGCATGAAAACAGACAGTTAAAGTGCCCCTATTATGCCATTTTTAAGGTTCCTAATATTGTTTTGGGAGTCTCCTACAATAGGTTTACATGCATGCAAGGTCAAAAAATGCTTTCGTTTTCTCAAAATATGCATTTGATATTTTTCAACGATTTCTCATATGATTCGTTCGAAGCAGCTCTAAGATTCAGTCTCTCTAAGACCCTTCTTTCCGTGAGCCTACTCTGCTCTGACTGGTCAGATGGCCCAGTCTGTTGTGATTGGTCTACCGCATACAGCGCGTGTCATGGAGCAGCATTTACTACACCGAGCCGTTGTTCACTGACAAGCTGCGCAAAACCACGATCATATTTTGCGCATGTTTTGCGCAGCTTGTCAGTGAACAACGGCTCTGTGTAGTAAATGCTGCTCAATGTGAAAGCACGCACCTGATGGAGATTTACCGCTGATTACAGAACCGGCTTTACTGGCAAGATGCGCATTAAATATCACATGCGATTTATCATGCAGCCCTACACCTGTGCCATAGTTCCATATTTTGAACGCTCGATAGAGAATATAAACATCTATTTTTTATCATACTTAAACAGGCTGTGATTCAGTGGAGCCAGCTGGTCCAAATAAACTGGGTACTGAGCCAAGAGCAAGCGTCTTGTGAATCCCGCGTTGAACTCGGTAAGATTAGAGAAGCAGTCATCAGTAAAATGAAGGAAACACAAAAAAAAAAAGATTGCGGTTGTACTGCTGTGGTACAGTGGAAAAATTTTAACCACTGATTCTTTGCAGCCTCATCTTTCGGAAATGAAAATTAAACTAATTTACTATCACAGTATAGGACACAGCGTCTTATCGACATGAACAAGCTACAGTGTTTGAGGGCGGGGTCAAGTTGTTCGCAGCCGGCCAACGTAGAACATACATTATGCAAATGTGTTACCCTGTGACGTGTAGCCGTCATGGAAGTGGGATTCGAGTTCCTGATGATCCATTTAGGCTGTTCAGAGTCGATTCTTTATTTTGGGAGATAATAACTATATTTATCGTGCTTTTGGCTTTACAACTTTGCAAATCTTTTACATTCACATACAGCTACATTGCATACTGCATGAAAGGCAATATTGGAAATGGCATAGGGGCACTTTAACCACAAAATGGACTGATTCCTAATAATCGTTTAACAAACAAAGTATTTCTGAATGCTTCATTGGTGTGTAAATAAAATTTACGTTTAAATTCACCTTGACTAACTCATTCTGGACAATGAAAAAGATAAAAAAAAAACAAATGGACAAACTCGTACTGTTTTGATGGATGAGGTGACAAAATATGAGGTTCATGTTAGATATCACTGTTATTGGTTAAAGCCAATCAGTTATCTGTAACACTTTATTTAGGTCTCACTGACTTAACGTTAATTAAGTTAAGATATTCATGAAGCAGACTTGGAGTTCTGTCTGGGAAGCTCTGAGTCAGGGGGCATAAGCAAACATCCTGATGATGCAAATGACCCTGCTCATGACTTCTCTTTTCACTTAGATGTTTGCTTCTTCATTTTATGCCTTTCAGTAATTGAAGAATTTGTAGTTTACGCAGAGGGCTGAGTCACATGCTGTTTTATCATGTTTTCATTTCTTCTTTTCCTGCATAGTTGATATTGTTTGCTAATTCACCCATTTAGGTGTGATTTCCCTCCTGACACTTATCAAGTATTACAGGGGTAATCTAAGGTCAGCAGGGCATACCCAGACTATTGTTACCTCTGTTCTAATCTCCAAGAGGAACCTGGATGTTTATTTGTCTGTGTGTGTGTGTGTGTGTGTGTGTGTGTGTGTGTGTGTGTGTACAAGGAAACACAATTATGACTCCATCATCATATGTGCTCTGTGTCTGATCTTTTCCATTTCCATGTATTCACTAACGCGTTTCTCTGTTGTCATTTGCGCAGTGTGAGGGAGATGTGAGTATCCGTGTGTGTGTGTGTGTGAGATTTACTGCCTTTCATCCTTTGCTGCTTCCTGCAAGCAGTTACTTGTACAGGCTTGATAGTTGACCAACTGTATCTTCCACCTCTGCAGTGCCTTGATTAAAAAAAGAAATCTTTCAAAAGTCAGTCCTTCTTGAAATCACAGTCACATTAAATGGCTGCATGTAATTTGTAATTCTTTTTAATGTACTGTATATTATAGAGCAGGGTTTCCCAACTGGATGTCCACAAACCCATGATGAAAGTGGAGGGGTTTTGTGAAATTCAAATGATAAAAATAAAAAAAAAATAGAAAAGAAAAAAGAAGTTTTTTTAAGCCAAAGATTGTATGTATGTGTATATATAATATTAATGACTAATTTTATATATCTCTGTTATCTATTGTATAAGAATCTGGTCCACTTTGGCTAATTTCAGCAGCATTTAATATTTACAAAAGTAGGCCACATAGAGACCAGAGCATTGTGCTCTTCACGATACACAGCAGTGCAAAGGGTACAAAGAAAAAAAACTACTCTTGTTTTATGTCATACAGTACAACTGTACTAAGATAAAACATTACTGTTTATAAAACTCCTGCAAACCCTCGTGTTGTTCGAAACCCGTAAGGCCCTGTCCCAAATGGAACCCTAAACCCTCGCGGTCTTCCTCTGAGTTCGCACTTTCGTGACGTAATGCCGCTTTTACTGTCGGGTAGAAGTCTGCTGTGGAGCTCGCCCCAGTGCGGGCTCGGCAGAAGTGCGGATCGAGGGCGCATAACAGCCGCAAAGGGGGCGCTAAATGGCTGCATGTAATTTGTAATTCTTTTTAATGTACTGTATATTATAGAGCAGGGTTTCCCAACTGGATGTCCACAAACCCATGATGAAAGTGGAGGGGTTTTGTGAAATTCAAATGATAAAAATAAAAAAAAAATAGAAAAGAAAAAAGAAGTTTTTTTAAGCCAAAGATAAAAAAGCTTAATTGAAATGAATAGTGTGTATGTTTTTAGTGTGCATAATATATGTATACACAAACACACACATAGCGGCCGCAAAGGGGGCGCTCGCGAGCACACTTTTGAACGCTAAAATGACGAATGGGACACCCTACGGTCTTGTGGACTTAACGGACACACGCACGCGGCGGTCATTGTAAGTCCACAAGACCGAAAGTGCACATGAAGTGTTCCATTTGGGACAGGGCCCAATTCATTCTTTGGACGCGCGTTCACGACAGTACCATGACGCCAGCGTGTGGCGGTGCCGCCGCTGACCCAGATCACGCCGGATCTGGGTCAGTGGCGGCGGTGCCACACACTCGCGTCATGGTACTGTCGTGAACGCGCATCCAAAGTGACGCAGTAGAGCCGAAAATGTGGAATAAAGTCGTTATTTTTGTTTTCTTTGCGCAAAAAAGTATTCCCATAGCTTCGTAACTTTACAGTTGAACCACTGATGTCACACGGACTACTTTGTCGATCAACTTGGTACTTTTCTGAACCTTTAACGTGGTAGTTACCTTGCTGTCTATGGGAGGGTCAGAGAGCCCTCAGATTTCATCAAAAATATCTTAAATTGTGTTCCGAAGATGAACGAAGGTCTTACGGGTTTGGAACAACACAAGGGTGAGTAATTAATAACAGAATTTTCATTTTTGGGTGAACTAACCCTTTAAGCACTAAAACAAGATAATCAGTAAAAACTACTGAAAATTGAAATGAAAAGTAATAGTAACAACATCTTAATAAATGATCATGCTTTTTGTTATTTTATTTTTATATTTTACTTAATTTGATCATTTTATTTATTTATTTTGGTTTGGAGTGCAATGAAGTGATGCAAAAAATCTACTGCTACCGTCCTAATTTGCCTGTTTTTTGTGTGTGGGAGAGGTTGCAGGCTGGTTTGTCAAGCGTTTTTGTTGTTGTTTTTGTGAAAATATGAAAATAGTGTTGTCTGCTGGGTTAGTTCATGTGGACACATGATTCTTTGTAAAACTCTGTTTTCCCCCCTCCACCTGTAGGCTGCGCCTGACTTTCAGGAGACTAGGCCACGCAATTATGTTCTGTCGGCCAGTGCATCTGCGGTAAGAAGGCTGCAGACCCTTAGCATTAGAAGTCTTCCCCCACACATGCTCTCTTTTTCTCTCCATTTCTTTCTACATGACCTTTATTTCTACATACGATATTTCCCCACCAATATTTGCACCAACCCTTGTAAATTTAGACTAGCAGAATGTCCTCCTACAGTCCATTCTCTGTGGGGGTGGTATAGCAGTATACGCTTATTGTGGATAAAAATCATCAGCTAAAGCAATTAATTAATAAACAAGTCCCCATTATTACACCTAAGAGCTTTTGGACCAGGTATCATCCTCTACCCTTTGCCATTACCTGGAATCTCGGATGGTTGAAATGTGCAGGTGATAGTGAGAAAATGGCCTCACTAAAACTTTTCCATCGTCCCACTCTTACTTTTTCATTCCACGCAGTGGGATAGTGAAGTTGGCGATTCATCTCTGAGTGACAGAGAAAAGGTTGTATGAACTTGAATCTGAAGTGAAGCCTTAATATAAAGCCCTCATAGAGTAGTGTACTTATAGACATGCAATATATATTGTGTGGGTCTTGTTAGCACAGCTCAGTGATGGACGGTTGCATCTCCTTTCAAGATTTGTCTGTGTTGTTGACCCATTATTTAACTCTAGTCCTGCTTTCCTCTTTGTCAATGTTGTGAGATGTCTTACATCTCCC